TCGGCTCACACCGTCACCTGCGGGTCCCGTCGGCTCACACCGTCACCTGCGGGTCCCGTCGGCTCACACCGTCACCTGCGGGTCCCGTCGGCTCACACTCCGGGCCAGGTGGTCTTGCTAGTCAGTCTCGCATCCGGAAGAGTCCTCCAGCCAGTTTCCGAGAACGGATTTAGACTGTGACAATTGACGTTTCTAAAATGTCCCAGGCAGTGGACCCGTGGTTGAGTCCCGGGAGTGGGTTTGGGCGAACCAGGCCAGTGTAGGCGTCCTGCAGCGTCAGGAGGCTCGCCCTGATGCTCCTCCCTGCCGCTCCATTGGCTAGGACCCTCCTTCCGTCGTATGGCTTCGCGACTGCGAGCCCGTGAACATCCGGCCCCACACCCTTGCTGAAGTGCTTTCGGCTTTCGTCCGCTGTCTTCCCAGCTGGGTTACTGCGCACGTGTTCGCCAGGCGGTGGCTCTCACTCGCTGTGTTAGCTGCTACTTCATCTGTTAAAAACGCTTTTCCCTGTGCTGCTTTTTTTTTTTTTTTTTAAGATTTTATTTATTTGACAGAGATCACAAGTAGGCAGAGAGGCAGGCGGAAGAGAGAGGGGGAAGCAGGCTCCCCGCTGAGCAGAGAGCCTGATGCGGGGCTCCATCCCAGGACTCCGAGACTATGACCAGCCGAAGGCAGAGGCTTTAACCCGCTGAGCCACCCAGCGCCCCACCTGTGCTTCTTTTTAAAAGAATCATAGATTGTTGTTAATTGTTGTTAATGCCAAGTTATAATCCAGAACTAATACAAGGTTACTCTTATTTTTTTTTTGAAGCTCAGTTTATCCCAGATTTGGCCACTGAGAGCTCCTTCAGACTGGTTTCTGGGGCCTTTTGACACATCTGTGTCCTTTTCTGAGCTCTGCTTAGCTTTCTGGCACAGTAGTATCCGTGCCGTGCTCATAGACTTGTCCTGTCCCAGCGCCGGACCAGTCCTTTCTCCAGGGAACTCTCGCTGCTCCTCGTGGGAGTGGCGTTTAGGAAATGAATCTGGTGCTGGGTGTGCTCATTGCCCCTGCTGGGGGCTGGGGAGGGGGGTCATTACTTCAAGGCCTTGTCAGCAGATGGAGCTAGTAACTGTATTTTTTTAAACATTTTAAAAAAATGTTTAAGGACACATGAACATGAGCTGGTGGGGGCAGAGGGAGAAGGAGAAGCACACTTTGTCTGTATTTTTAAGCAGTTACACGTTCTGGGGAGCACCCACCAGGCTCAGTTGGTGGAGTGTGCGACTCTTGATCTCGGGGTTGTGAGTTCAAGCCTTATGGTGGGTGTAGAGATTACTTAAAAAAAAAAATGACAAATTCCAAGGGTAGATGACTTCCCCCTCCCTGCAGCCTCCATCTACCAGCTTAGAGCCAGGAGGCACGAGGTGACGAGCAGGTAGAAACCTTCCTGTCTGATTCTGTGAGTGATCCAAGCACCCGGGAGCTGGATCTGTTTCTGTGGCTGCAGATGCCTGGTGTAGGGTTACTGGGCTGGGGGGAGAGCAGGCATGGGTCGACCCAGCCGCTCGTCGTGCGCAGTGTCGGGGGAGCTCCAGTTGCTCTCTGTTGTTGGTCGTGACTTACTGCTCCTTGCGGCTGGGAGGTGAGGGGAGCGCCTGGCCCAGGTGTGCCATCTGCCCCTTCTCCATGTCATCCTGACCCAGAGCCTCCCGTGGGCCTCAGATGGAGCTGATCCCACTGCCGCTGGATAACAATTCCTCTGCCCGTTCGGATTTCTGTGTTCTCGTTTGGTGAATAAAATCTTCACACCTCGTTAGGTTTCGTAACTCCAGAGGTGTACCGCAGCACAGGCTGCTGGGACAGAGATGTGGAAGAGCCCCCGGCCCCCAGCCGCACCGCACGGGCCCAGGGCCGGCATCTCTACCCATGATCTCATGCTGTCTGCAGTTGCTCTGTCCCCGCAGATGGAGTTGGGACTTTGGGTTTGTCTGTTTGTTTTGTTTGGGGTTTTGTGTGTGTGTGTGTGTGTGTGTGTGTGTGTGTGTGTATTTTTGCTTAACAATAAGCACCTTGAGGACACTGGCACATCTTCACCAGTGGGGCAGTCTCCTGCTCGCGGCAGCCAGGTGACCTGGGGGGCGACTGTGACGCCGTTTAGCTGTTGCCGTCCCTGTTGCAGCTGATGAGTAGAAAGTGGTTTTTAAGCTCTTTTTTCCCCCATAAGCTTTATAGATGAATTTTCAAGTGTCCCTACGACTGAGTGAAACTAAAATGACATGCCTTCCACTGTTTCTGACGCTGTCACCTGTCTCTTGGCCTCTGAAAGAGGTCATTTTGGAGCGTTGCCGTTTGCAGCTGCCAACAGCCCAGCTCGCTCCGTGTCGGTGCTCTGACTCCTCCAGAATCAGGAAGATGGATTTTCTTTTCCTTTTTCCTTTTAAGACTTTATTTCTTTATTTGACAGAGAGAGACAGTGAGAGAAAGAGCACAAGCAGGGGAAGCAGGAGAGGGGGAAGCAGGCTTCCCACCGAGCAGGGAGCCCAATGCGGGGTTCGATTCCAGGACCCCGGGATCATGACCTGAGCTGAAGGCAGAGGCTTAGCCGACTGGGCCCCCCAGGCGCCCTGGGAAGATGGATTTTCAAGGCGTCTGATGTGGTGTTCTGCGGGGGCAAGATGCTTTGTTTTCCACTCCGCTTACCTCTTTTCAAATGTTCCAGGTCTACGAAGCCATCGACAGCAGGGACGGGGCGTCCTGTGCAGAGCTGGTGTCCTTCAAACACCCTCACGTCGCCAATCCACGGCTTCAGGTGGGCAAATAGTCCTCGCGCACGGGTGCTTCCGAAGCAAAGCTCAGAGTTCGAGTCAGGAGGAAGCGAGTACTGCTGCTCTGTTGAAAATTTTAATTTCATTGTCGGTGTTTGGAATTCCAGTCCATTTACTGATCACACACAGGCTGAGGTGCGGGGCCCGTGCTCTGCGGTCAGCTCCCATGTGACCCTCTGAGCCTCAGAGACCTGCGGTGTGTAGCCAGGTCGTCCAAGGTCATCCAGCGCACGGGACGAGGCTGTGCCCAGGCCTGTCTGTCCCCAAAGCCCACAGAGGTGTTCTGTTGGAGGTAAATCATCCGTGGGGCAGGTTCATGTCTGCTCGTTCCTGTGCTGTCCATGCCACGGACACCTAGCCGGCTGGGTGGGCAGACATCTACAGCCTGTAGAGCCAGCAGTGTCTACCATCCGGCCTTTTGCAGAAAGCGTTTGCCAAACCCGGCTCTAAACCGGAAGCATCCTTGATGTAGCAGATAAATGCCATGCGGGCCCTGTCTTTAGTAGAAAGTGTTCTTGGCGTTTCGGGAAGTCCCCTTTCCTCATTAGTTCCCACTGGAATACTGGAATGTGGTCCTGAGGGGCACTTTTTCTTCTGAAAGACGTAGGAGCTCTGTGTATTGGCTCAGTGTACAGGCTGCACCGCCGACCAGAGCAGCCAGTTTGTGGGGTAGAAGCAGCTCTTAACATTGGGGGCTCCTGGGTGGCCGTCCTGTGTGCCAGTGTTGAGAACCATTGCTCTAAGGGGCTCACTGGCCAGACACTCCTCGGCTGGTGGCCTGTGCCTCCCGGCGCAGCACCATGGGCAGATCTCGGATCACCCTTTGTGACCCGAGGCCCATCCCCGTTGCCCTTCGAGGCCGCTTTCCACTCACTGCTGGCCGTGGTCTGCCTTGGCGGCACCGCCAGGGATGGTGGAATGGGGGGTTTTGCGCTGCTGCCTCTCCCTTCCTGATTTCACGCACGCGGGCATGGTGTGTGCTTACGGCATCAGCCTCGTGGACCCTTTCAGTTCTCTGTGCTGCGTGACCCCCGTGGCTCTCGTCTGACCCAAAATCTGGCCGTCGAGAGGGAAGAGGACCTTGGAAATGAATGTCGGCTAGCCTGGCCTAGAGCGCAGAGCAGGCGGCTCTGTCCCCAGGAGGTGAGGAGGGCTCTCTCACGCCGCCTTCCACAGCTGACGGCACACAGGAGCCGCTTCACGACACGTCTTCCCTGGCCGTCTGCTAGACACGGCAGTCTCCACAGAAGTGCCCTGAGTATCTCTTGGACTGCGGTGTGCACGGCTGGTGTGTTTGTGGAGCGCCTGCCGCCACGTCACGGGCTGTGGGCGACACATGCGTGAGAGCACAAGGGCCAGCGTGCCCGCTGCTCCCTTCACTGTAAGGGCCGTGCCCACTGCCCCCTTCGCTCTTTTGAGACAGCCGCGGTTCGGTCTCTCTGCACCGTGCGTTCTTTGGCTGCCTTTTAATTTTATTTTGTCATTTTTCTTCTTACCATTTAGATGGCCTCTCCAGAAGAGAAGTGTCAGCAGGTTTTGGAACCCCCTTATGACGAAATGTTTGCTGCTCATTTAAGGTAACCCCCCGGGGAGGAAGAAAAATAAAGCAAATCTGGAAATTGCTGAGTCATTGAGGGATTTCATTTGACCTCGTCTTGGGCTTCGGGGCTCCTGGGAGGCTCAGTCAGTTGAGTCTCTGCCTCTTGGTTTTGGCTCAGGTCAGGGTCTCAGGGTCATGGAATTGAGCCCCATGGCAGGCTCTGCGGTCAGTGTGGCATGCGGCATCTGCTTGAGATCCTCCCCTCACTCCCCTTTCTGCCTCTCCCCACTCACATGAATACACTCTTTCTTTCTAAAATAAATAAAAACTAAAAACACACACACATATCATCTTAGACTTGAAACAATGGATGGTTTGCTTTGAAAAGAAAAGTGCATTTGTTTTTGGGGGGAGGTTGGTACTATGTTTTTATTTAAATACAGTTTCCTTACAGCATAGTGTTAGTTTCAGAGGAAGGGGTCAGTGACTTACCGGTCTTACATAACACCCAGTGCTCACTGCATCACGTGCCCCCTTACTGCCCGTCCCCCAGTTACCCCATCCCGCAGCCCCCTCCCCTCCAACAACCCTCAGTTTGTTTCCTGGAGTTAAGAATCTCTTACGGTTTGTCTATCTCTCTCATTTCATCTTACTTTAAGAAAAGTGTATTTTTTAACTTCACTTTGGTAAAGCCTATGATAATTTTCTGAAGCTTAAAGTACTTTACATTTTTTTAAAATTTTATTTATTTGGCAGAGGGAGAAGCAGACTCCCCGCTGAGCAGGGAGCCCAACACAGGGGACTCCATCCCAGGACCCTGGGATCAAAGGCAGATGCTCAACTGACTGAGCCACCCAGACATCCCTGAAACACTTGAAATTTTTAATAAACTTTCTTTCATTTCAAAGATCACGTATGGTTTAAAAACTTACATAGTGGTCTTGCGCAATTCTATCGCACTCCTCAGGTTGGCGACATAGCGGTCCTGTGTTCCGGGGTGGGGCGGGTGGTGGCTCACCACTGACTGGTGTTTTCCATGATGCCTGTGTTTTCCCCTCTTCGCCTTGACGCGGACGGGGCGAGCACTGGGCAGAGCACACGAAAGACTAGCTTTCCAGTGACATCCTGTGTCTGCTGTTGGCGGGTGGGCTGGACAAAGCCGGCTGTCCCGAAGCATGAGGCATTGGGCCACCCTCCTGCCCGTGCACCCCCAGGGCTTTCTTTTCCAGAGAAGTTGGGGTGCCGCTGGGCTCCTGGTAGATTGAGGCCGTCCGCTCTTTCCTGGCTCTGTGCGGTGTGTGTTGAGGCTCTAGATGTGCCAAACGGAAGCCGGAGGGCCGTGCTCTGCCACGACCAGGGCCTGGCGCTGAGAACCTGCTGCCAGGCCCCAGAGCGTCACATGGGTCTCCTCCCACCCCAGCCCGTTTCCATTCAAATGTCACCGGTCTGCTGCTTGTCCTCCTCCTGGTTCCTGTGGCCTGGGGCAGGATGAGCGGCACGCTCGTGCGTCCCGGGCGGGGGGAGGGGTGGGCACGTGGGGCTCACTTGCAGGTCCTGCTGTCTGTGTCCTCACCCGTGATGTTGCCTTTGCAGATGCACCTATGCGGTGGGGAACCACGATTTCATCGAGGCGTATAAATGCCAGACTGTCATCGTCCAATATCTTTGTCGTTTCAGTTATATTTGCATACGTCAGTTATATTTGCATACGTCAGTTATATTTGCATACGTCAGTTATATTTACGTACGTCAGTTATATTTACATACGTCAGTTATATTTGCGTACGTCAGTTATATTTGCGTACGTCAGTTATATTTACATACGTCAGTTATATCTGGGGTTTGGGCTCTGGAGACATTGGGCCACTTTCGTTCATACCTTTAACTAGGAAGGAATTGAAAATAATTTTGGGAGAAAAACTCGTTTCGCTGTTTATTTCATTCAGGTGCTTAAGTGTACCCTGGCCTTAAGATTGTCATCTAGTTATCAGGACGGTGACAAAGAGCGCCGGTGACAAAGAGCGCCGGTGACAGAGAGCGCCGGTGACAGAGAGCGCCGGTCACGGTTAAGGGTTTTACTCGCCTTCCTGTAAATAGTCATGTTTCCTTTGAAGTATCAAGTATAACCGCAGGGACTAGTTAGTCCCGTTGGCAAAATATGAGAACTGCAAACTCCAGGCCTGGAGGACGGGAGTGGACGCCGCACCATCCCTGAGGTGTGGTCACAGAAGACCTCCAGCCGGCCGGTGCCTGGTTTCAGCCGTTTAAGCCGCATCTTCTGGTTAAGGCTTCAGTCAGTGAAATGTTGACCTCTGGGTTTTTAGTTTGCTTGTTTTTTAACTTTCTTCTTTAAATATACAAAGGAGAGAGTTGGTTACTAACTGGCTTAGTTTCCTTTGAATTTAAGAATTCTATAATCAAGGAAATAAAACTCTATATTACAGAACCTAAAGCCTATTGGATATGTGACTATCTGGGTTCGGGAAAACCAAATAAAAGGTTTGAAGTTGTCCGTTAAGACAGTGTTAACAATTATCTTACTTCGGAGAGCGCGTGAAAGTAAATATACTGTATCAACGCTAATGCCATTCGGGTATTTGTAATCTGTACGTCTTTTCCTCCAGAACTTGGTTCTGTGATATATAATCGTTTAGACTTAAGATGTAGAATCCTTCATGTCTCGTACTGTCACGGCCGCGTTGCCTTGGATTTCGTACGCGGTGACTTCCTTAACGGAGTACGTCGTTCCTGCGCGCATTTCAAGCCCACAAAGAAGAAAACTGGTGAGTATGGATGGATGTAACTGGGAACCGGCGAATGGCAGGGTTGGGTTTTTTTGGGTTTTTTCTTTTAGCAGAAGCTTTTTAAAACCTTAAATAAACGTGTTGTGTTTTCCGTGTGGATATCTAACGCCCCGCGTCGACGTAGGCTAATGCCAGCATGGGTGGGGCGTGGCCGGGGTCAGCGGAAATGTTAGCTGCGTCCGGCTCCTTGCGCTGTGTCCCGTAACTGTGGGGCCTCGTCTTTGTTTCAGACCTTCCAGACCCCAACAGCTTTGTCAGTTGTCAGTTCGGAACTGACTTCTGGTTTTAGCTCGGATAACAGGGCGGGTGAGCTGCAGCTCGGTGGCCAGAGGGAGCGCGTGGGAATGGGTTATGTCCCGTCCTTGACAAAGTGCTAATGTGACCACCGCTCACTGGAGATAAATCCTGAAGGCGCGTGTCCACGAAAGTAACGAGGCTCGCGAATACCTTTTACTGAAAAAATCAAATACCTTTTTTAAGTGAAGACTTCTCTCACGTAAAACCAGTTCCAGCTAAATTTAAAAAAAAAATCCTTTCGTGACGTTCCGTCTGTTAGGTTTTCTGGGTCGCATTAGAAGGCCTGAACGGAACCGCCTCTTGCTTTAATGGAGCTGCTTGGAGAGTGGTTGAAGGGACAGGGCAGGTGCTCCGTGTGAGGCGGTGCCGGCTGGGGCTGGGGACCCCACATGCACCAGGATCTCGGCCTCTGGGCGGGGGTCCGGGGCAGTGGGTGAGGAGCACCCCAGTGTCTGTGTTGGTCCGGACGCCCCGGGACCACAGCCTGCCCTGACAGGAGGTGAGGAAGGCAGCAGCCGCGGCCAGATTCCCAGAGGGTGGTGACCCCTGTGGGTGTCGGGAACAGGCCCTTGGACCTAATGGCCTCTTCCCACGCGCTTTTCTTCCCCGCAGGGCCCTGCCTGTCATGTATGCTGTCGCCCTTGACCTCCGGGTGTTTGCCAACAACGTAAGTTCTGTTCTTGTCACTGTTTTAAAACTCAAACTCCACTTCTGTCTGTTGCTCAATTTCATGTCATTCTTCAGTTTTGCGGGTTAGGATGTGGGTTAGCACGTACCCGGTGTAGTGTGCAAGGGCAGGAGGTTGCTGGACCGGACTAATGCTTCTGTCCAGGTTGGTGGGTTTTCACGCTGTGGGCGTAGAGGGAGTTTTCCTGTGTGTGTCCCCGGGGGCAAGGCAGTCGTTCCAGCAGCTCCACACTCTCCTCCACTGCTGAGATGTGACCGGCCCCGTCCGGAAGACTCCCCGCCGCAGGTGCCAGCGGCAGCCGGGCATCTCGCTGCTGTGAGGAGGTCAAGACGGGGTCTGACGGGGTGGGTTTGCCCTTGGGGGTCAGCATAAGTAAGTTTTGGAGCAGCAGTACTGAACTAACACGGCTTTTTGGTTTTAAAAACTACAATTTCCCATTCTGAACAAGGTGGAGAGGGTACCGTTCTCCTTCCCGTCCCGCTGGAATTCTGAGGCCAGCACGGCTTGCCGAGCAGCAAGGGGTGGGTCTCCTGCATCTCCTTCCTGCCTCCTGTCCTGCAGGGGGTCCAGGAGGATCCCGGAAGATCCAGGAGGATGGACGGGCAGAGACGAAGAGGCCCCAGGGAGAGCAGGAGGGTTGGGCAGCCCAAGAGGACAGACCTCTGGAGCAGCCCCTGCCGCGGCCCCCAGCTGCCGGTCCCCAGCCCTGCAGCAAGGCCCTCGGGGAGCCAGACCAGCCCCGCTGGCAGCAGCTCCCCACTGGCTCGGTATCTGCCACTGATGCGAGACACACAGGGTCCACGTGACCTCAAGCCCAACTGTCACTTACAGAGCGTCTCAGCCCACGAGGAGAGACGACCCCCAAACAGCAGATGGCGGCCTTCCCTGACCGGCCCGCACCCCGGCCACAGAAACAAGACTCGGAGTCATGAACACGCTTGGAACAGACGAAAACACAGGTGACCTCGCAGAGAACGGCAGAGCTAAGGAACTGTGATGGAAACGTCTGCAACCAAAAAACACAACCGAAATGCAGATTATCGAGGCTCCACAGAACTGCGGTCATAAGTCTGTGTATCTACCTCATTAAACATTTTTAACTGGGATTTAAAAAAATACTCGTCCAAAATAGTGAGCTTTTTATGTCGTGACATCAGCGACATTTTAAGTAAAAAATAATTACGTTTTCCAAGTGAACAAAGTATGCTGAGAAGACGGCGGGATTTTACATTTTGATCTTACAGAAGCTGCTCGAGCCCGTGTCCCGCAGGCGCGGTGCTGGGCGTGTGGCTCTGCTTGAACGCGTGGAGACAGCCTGGCCTCACGCAGGTGTCGCTGGGAAGGAGAGGACACTCGGGCGCTGTCCGAAGCTCCGAGCGTAGTCGCAGAGGGGTAGTTGGGTGCGGCCTTGGAAGTGCCGCACTGAGCGTCCTCTGCTGTTGCGGTGGAATCCACTGGCGTGTCCGTGGACGGACCGCGTGCTCCCGCGTGGTCCGGTGGCATCAGACGCTCATCATCTGGAAGGTTTGGGTTCACCGAGTTACAGAGATGTTCCACGTGTGGACGTGATTCGTTGTGCAAAAAAACACCAAACCAGAAATCTCCGTTTGTTCATGTCTCCAGTGACCTTATCTGAAAGGTTTTGGAGTAATGCAATGCTGCCCAGTTCACGGTGATTGGTTCAAGTGATCCAAAATTCTGTTGTTGTTTTCTTTTTGAGAACACAGAGGTCGCTGGCCGCAAACCCTGTCAGTTGTCTGCTTGGGACGGGCGGGAGTGTTTCCATTCACTGTCCAGCAAACGGCTCTGCAGATGCCCCCGCCTGTCCCGCCAGCTCTTCCGTCAGTCGCCGGTTCCGCGCTCGCCGGCCGCTCCAGCAGCCTCCGGCGTGCCCTCCTGCAGGGAGCACGCCGTCATTTCGTCATAAGGAGCGGGTCCAGGAACTGAGACTCTGCATTTCCTGTGTCGTCAGGGCGGTTTGAAGGGAACTTGGGGATTGGCTGCAGGGCCACACGGGGTGACGTCGTGGACAGTGTTGCCACTGCTCTTTGGTGTCGCTGGAAAGGCCCTGCACGGTCACGGGCCGCTGTGCTCTCATTATCGGTGTGGGCGACGCTGCAGTGAAGAGACAAATCCTGGCGGTCGGTGGGGTCGGGAAGTCGTTGTGACCGCGCGGGTCACCTGCACATGTATCGACGGCTCCCGGGGGCTCGTGGACCGTGCTCAGAGCGCCTGTGTTGGGGGTGTGCATGGGAGCCAGCGGGTCGCCAGGCCTGGGGGAGAGCCAGGCCCGGGGAGGCCCGCGGTGTGTGTCGGAAGCGTGTGTCCGGGGTGTGGACCGGCTGTAGGCGGGGGCGGGACGTGAGGCCGTCAGGAGGGGCTCCGGGAGTGGCGCAGGGCCCCGCGCCCCAGACCTGGAGACGGGCTGGCCTCCCGGCGGCTGTGGTTGACAAGAGTCGATTTGTGTGCGGGTCGGACCCGCGGCCGGTCTCTGCGGTTTTCAGCGCAGTAGCACCGTGGGCCAGAGGGGCTCCCCGAAGCCGGGGCTTCAGTCCGGGGCGGTCGCCAGCTTCACTCCTCGCGGCGGCCGCGTCCTTCCCAGCAAGGAGTCGAGAGGAAGTTAACCGTGTCTGTCGTCCGTCAGGCGGACCAGCAGCTGGTGAAGAAGGGGAAGAGCAAGGTCGGGGACATGCTGGAGAAGGCGGCCGAGCTGCTCATGAGCTGCTTCCGCGTCTGCGCCAGCGACACGTGAGTACGGCTCCGGGCCGGCCGCGCCGGCCTGACTCCGGGCTCCTCCCGCGCGCACCCCCGGTCGTTCCCTCGGACTTAGCTGGTCGGCGGCTGTGTCCGCGAGGTGAGGGAGAGGAGGCCGCGCGCCACGTGTGCCTGGCACAGCGTTTCTGGGGCCTCTGGGCCCGGCGCCGTCTGGCCCGAGCCCCGCTCTCTGGGAACGTGCTCTGTGGACGCGCCGTTCTCCCGCTGTGCTGACCGGCTCTTCCTTCCTGTGTGCGAGACGGAGAATTCCAGACAGACTGCTTTTCCGGCTCGCGCTCTCGCAGGCCGTTCCTGCCGGCGTCCCGTGCCCCCGGTGTGGCGCGCGCGCTCACCTCTGGCCACGCCGTCGCCTCCCTGTGTCTCCCACCGTGGGACCCCGTCCCGCCCTGACCTAGAGCGGCTCGATCTCTGCGCTGTTTTGTTAGATCCTTCAAGAGTGATTTTAAGTCCGTTCTTCCCTCCTTTTTGTTCGCATTCTGTCTCTGAGTGTTAGACTGAGTGGCCTGCCATGGATGCTGGGACCCTGTGTCCTCCTCCCAAGCCGTACGTGTTTGTCGTGGGATAACTGGCCTTCTCGATGTGACACCCAAAACACAGTGACCTAAGGAAGAATAGATAAACCAGACTTACCAAAGTAGAAACCGTGTTTTAAAGGGTGCCGTCCAGTGAGGGGAAAACAACCATAGAATGGGGAGAACGCTTGCCAGCAGCGTAGTGGACGGTGACCTGTGTCCAGAATGCATGGAGACACGTCGTCCAGCTTACGTGGGGCCCGGCCCTGGACAGACATCCCCAGAGAAGGTAGACGGCCGGTAGGCCCACCAGCAGACGCTCAGCACCCTCAGCCAGCGAGGAGCTGCGAGTGAGAACCGCGGCGGGCCGCCCTTCCTGCCCAGCACCCCGGGGCTGTGGTGGCTGGGGGTGGGCACCCCGGCTTTGCAGAGCAGCAGACAGGACCTCAGAGAGACCCCTCGGGGCTTGCGTCCTGAGTGTCTCCAGCAGAGTTCGGTCTCCGGTGTTACAGTGTTCTGTGTGTTTTCTTTTGTCTCCGTGTGGATTTGAGGTCACAGCGCTAGTGAGTGACAAGAGGCCTCTAGGAGCTTCCGTCATGGAATGGGACCGCAGTGCTAAACGCTGATTGCAGGCTTACCCGAGTGTTCTGCTGTGGGAGGGACCTTAGGGACAGCCTGAGGACAGGTTTCTGTGTCCCCGGCTAGCCAGCAGCCTGCAGTTCCGTACCGGCGTGTTTGTTTCCTGTGCGCCGGGATTTTGAGTGTGCAGGCGGCCTGCCCTGGCCCCCGCGTGTGGGTGTGCGGGCTGCACCCCAGAAGAGCCATGGCCGGGAGCGGATATGCTGTGTTTCCAGCGTCGCGTCACGGGGCCCCTCGGGCGTCTGACGTGCAGACAGAATTTCACAGGGACACGTGCGTACCTGCCCTGCGCACTGTTGGCATTTACTGTGCGCGCTGCCTGCTGTCCGTTCGCGCGTCTTTCCCTCTGTGCGCTGAGCAGTTTTCTGTCTTCTCGGCACCCCAGAGGGGGACGTGTCCGCCAGAGGCTCCCCTCAGCACCGCAGCTTCCCCTCTGTAGTTTGAGGTAAAACTTACCGGCACTGATTCACGCGGACCTTGACTGTGTTTTGACAAGTGTGTGCTTGTGTGCGACCCCTGCCAGGGCTGAGGACAGGGTCATCACGCCATGCCCCTCCCGGGCAGGCCGTCAGCACGGTTCCGGTCTCCCGTTGGTGACACGTGTGCTCGGCCTCCTCCGCGTTGTCGTGAGTTTACGCAGGTGATCTTGTCCCTGCGTCAGCAAGCACACGTCCCCCCGAGAGTGACCGCCGTCAGCTGCCCCCGTGCTCCGGGGTGTCGTCAGTCGGGCCTCTGCTCTCGGCTGGTTTGGTTTCACAGACGCGGCCCGAGCCGTGGGCTTCTGGCTCACGGTGTCGGTTCTGTCTAGGTGGGGGTGTGTGTGTGTGACCTAAAACACGCATTTTCCGCGTAACTGGAAAAAGCCGCTCCCCACAGGCGGGCCGGCATCGAGGACTCCAAGAAGTGGGGGATGCTGTTCCTGGTGAACCAGCTGTTCAAGATCTACTTCAAGGTGGGACTGTGGGGCCCCTTCCTTCCGCCTGTCTCCCCGGATGCCATCTCCGGACCGGCCTCCACGGCCTCGCCGGGTCGAGACCCTCACCTGGCCGCCTCCAGCCAAGGGCTGAGCACCTGCGGGGTTCAGGGACTGTCACGAGGGTGTGCGCATGGCCCCGTGGGAGCCTCTGCCTCGCGAGGGGAGCTGCACCTCCCGGGGAGAGCCTGGTGCCAGCGTCCCAAGCAGGTGCCCACTGGGGGACCTGGGCTGTCCCGTGGGGGGTGTCGCCCCGTGGGGGGTGTTGCTGTACGACTGGTACGGAGCAGGTGGCGGCGGGCAGGTGGGGGCGGACGGGTCAAGAGGTCCTCGTGGCGCGGCGCGTGCTCTCGCGTCTCCCGGGAAGTGGTCCGTCCGGTGTCGCTGAGTCGCCGCGGGGGCCTCCGCAGATCAACAAGCTGCACCTGTGCCGCCCGCTCATCCGCGCCATCGACAGCTCGAACCTCAAGGACGACTACAGCACCGCGCAGAGGGTGACGTTCAGGTACTACGTCGGGCGCAAGGCCATGTTTGACAGCGACTTCAAGCAAGGTGGGTTGGTGGCCGCTGCTGCTGGTGTTCTCAGACCCTGGGTCCTGCGCCGCGTCCGAGAGCACTCATGGGCTCTTAGCAGGACGGAAGGGGGCGACCGGGAGGCTGTCCCGCTGTCCCGCGTGTGCGCGGGCCTGTTTGTCCAAAGTGCAAGAAGACCCATGCGGGTCTCTGGCATCCCAGCCGGGGTCGCGGTTACCGCGGCAACGTGCTCGTGGGAGGTGACTCGGCACTACTGTTCTTCTCTGGAGCGGGTGTGATGGTCCTCGGTGCTGTGCCTTCGTGGGGGCCCGGCATCCGGGACGGGGAGCCCACGGCTGCGCCACCAGCGTCTGCGTCAGACACCCCAGGGGCCGCCGGGGCTGAGGGTCGCTGTGCGGTGTGGGGCTCGGGCACTGCCCGTCCGAGCGGCGCTTTCCGGAAACCACGGCCCTGGGCATGTCCGTGCTGACCTGTCGAGGAGAACGCAAGCCGCGGTGGTTCTATATGCTTTCCCCTGCCGTCCGCGGACCCGACTTTGAAAAGCCTCGTCACACGTGTAGAGCAGCCGTGCACACGTGAGCCGGGCCTGGAACGGCTTCCCTGTCCTCGTCTTCCAGCCATGAGCGCTGCGACAGCGGGGGTGACCGCGCTGCTGCGGGACGGGCCTGGGTCTCTTCTCCGTGGGCTCGTGCTGACAACCTCGTTTTCCTCCACAGAGGTTCTGAGAGACCCACAGCTTCTGAACAAGGCCATCCTCAGCGGTTCTCTTGTCCTTTTTTTTCCCTTAAAATAGGGAATTTGAGAACAGAAGGTTTTAAATTCTTTTGAGCTTTCTGAAGGTGTTGATAATGTTTTTCCTCCGAAGATTCCTGGAGTTGGATTTTTGAGTATCTAGCACAGCGGCCCAGCGAGAAGGACCGACCACTCCCGGTGGGAGTGGATGGTTCCTGAGACCGCGAGTGTCGGGGCGCGTGGGCGGGACGCGGTGCGGGCGGGCGGTGAGCGCGGCCTGCCTTGTGTCTGCAGCGGAGGAGTACCTGTCCTTCGCCTTCGAGCACTGCCACCGCGCGAGTCAGAAGAACAAAAGGATGATTCTGATATATTTGCTTCCGGTCAAAATGCTGCTGGTGAGTGACATCACTCCGGTCTCCCAGCCCTCGGTGCTCACCGCAGAGCTGCGCCGGCGCTTAGAAATGTCGCAGGTGGTGCGCAGTCACCGCTGCGCGCACCCAGAAGCAGACGGTGAGCTGCTCGGGGTGTGGCCCAGCCCAAACCATTCAGCCCCGTGATGGGCACTTTCTCCTCAGAGTATCTGCCTCAGAAGACTGATGTGTGTGACACAAGACCGTGCGTGTTCTTTTGCTCCTAAAACTCTGAATTAGTAGAAATGGATTAAACGAGAAAGAAAAATGTCATGCCAGCCTGTGTGTAGGTCAGACTGTCTTACCTAGTCCCCCAGAGGTAATTTAATACTGGAAATGACAAGTAACCAGCCAGTTAATTGACTAAAATTTCCTCAAAGTGATAGAGCTTCCTTTCCTCCCACTTAAAATTTTTACAAAATTAACTAAGCAGTACGCACATGCGGCCCGAACCCGCAGGGCGCAGGGCAGCTTGTAACGGGGAAGTAGCAAGCTGTGCCTGCGCTGCCCCCGCCCCGCATCCAGCCCTGCTTCCCAGGAGTGGCCCGTGGGCAGGGGCTCAGACGATTCTTCGGGACGGCGTTTCCGAGTTCCCGGCCCTTACACCGGCCTGTCTCCCTCCTACGCTTGCCCTCGGAGACGAGCCGCGAGGGCGTGAGGACCTCGGGGCCAGGTGCCCCCGGGGCTCTGGCTGCCTGACCCATGTCGTCTTAGCTGCTTCCGAAGAAACAGGTTGCAGGTTTTTAAGACGTGACTCCTTGATGGGGGTTTTGTCGCCGGTAATTCTGTTCCAAACGAAAGGCTCTTACGCTGGGGAACGGGCGCTCTGTCTCAGGGTCACATGCCGACCATCGAGCTGTTGAGGAAGTACCGTCTCATGCAGTTTGCCGAAGTGACCAAAGCCGTCAGGTATCGTGGCCTTTTCGCCAGACGCCTCCCACGTGTCGTGCGAGGGCTCGTCCTGGGCTCAGCGTTCCTAAGCGTGTGCGCGTCTCTCCCCACGCAGCGAAGGCAACCTCCTGCTCCTGAACGAGGCGCTGACGAAGCACGAGACCTTCTTCATCCGCTGCGGCATCTTCCTCATCCTCGAGAAGCTGAAGATCATCACCTACAGGAATCTTTTCAAGAAAGTGTAAGCCGGGTGTTTCCTCCTCAGTGCGTCTGAGATCTCGGGGCCACTCGGCCGCTGCGCCGGGAAGGTCGATGACCGCCCCAAGACGGCATCTGCGCCCATGTGGACAAGGCCCCAGCCCTGCCCCAAGCTTGTGCAAATGCAGTCAGACCTCTGTGCACTCGCCACCCCACGGGCATGCGCGCTGGCCTCAGGTGTCCCGTGTTCTGTCTCCGCGAGTGGGACAGAGGCCGTCCCCTTGATTCATATCAACTCAGCCGGTCCACCCCTCCTGTTTGTCAGAAAGTTGAATTCTGGGGGTGCCTGGGTGGCTCAGTGGGTTAAGCCTCTGCCTTCGGCTCAGGTCATGATCTCAGGGTCCTGGGATCGGGCTCTCTGCTCAGCGGGGAGCCTGCTTCCCCCTCTCTCTCTCTCTGCCTGTCTTTCTGCCTACTTGTGATCTCTGTTGTCTGTCAAATAAATAAAAATAAAATCTTTAAAAAAAAAAAAAAGGGACACCTGGGTGGCTCAGTTGGTTAAGCGGCTGCCTTTGGCTCAGGTCATGATCCCAGAGTCCTGGGATCGAGTCCCACATCGGGCTCCTTGCTCAGCAGGAAGCCTGCTTCTCCCTCTGCCTCTGCCTGCCTCTCTGTCTGCCTCCGCTCGCTCTCTCTGACAAAAGAAAAAAAAGAAAGCAAGTTGAATTCTGCATCCGTCCCTTTCCCAGCTGTGGGCAGTAGGTCCAGAATAGCGAGGGCCACACGTCCTCTAATGCACAGGGTGTGGCTCATGGCGAGGGGCGTCCTGATCGCAGGGACGTCGGACTGTGGGGTAGGGTTAGGGTCTTAGACTCTGAGATGAATGTGGGGTGGGGGTAGACACTTACATTCACGCTGAGGTCCTGTTCTCCCTTGTGACTCGGGACACCGTCTCGGCCTTCGGAGTGCTCGTGTCCCGTCCATAACCCGGTGGCCCTGTGCTTGCCCCTCCCAGGTACCTGCTGCTCAGAACACACCAGTTGTCTCTGGACGCCTTCCTGGTCGCCTTGAAGTTCATGCAGGTGGAGGACGTGGACATCGACGAGGTCCAGTGCATCCTGGCCAACCTGATCTACATGGTGAGAGGCCCCGCCCCAGCCAGCGGGGCTGCCGCTGGAGCCTCTCTTGTAGGAGCCTGAAAGCCACGGGCATTCGTCTGTCACGTTTGGGGCAGACCGCCGACATGCGGGGCCCAGGCGGGGGTGCGCCGGCACGTTGTCCTGACCCTGGCCCTCTCTCCCCAGGGCCACATCAAAGGCTACATATCACACCAGCACCAGAAGCTGGTAGTTAGCAAGCAGAACCCGTTCCCTCCGCTGTCCACAGTGTGTTGACGGGGCGCACGGCCCGAGGACGGGCGAGCCGGGTCTCGTCTGGCTGTATCCGCGCACGTGGACTCGGTCCTGGGCCACCACGGTGTTGTCTGCGGCCGTGCTCTCTGGGGCTCGCTGGCCGCACACGATGCCTTGAAACTTCCATGAGGGCCTGCGGACGCGTCCGTGAGGGGCTCTCGGGCTCACCATTTGTAAAGGCGTCTTTGTCAGCCTTTATGTAACTTTCTCTATAAAACATCACCGTGAGTTTATATAGTTGGCATATTCTTTATTTTGTCTTAACATACAGCATTTTTATATGTTAAATTAGAATGTTTTACAGAATTAAAATGTTTCACTTGAGGCTGTTTCTTTCAAAATGAATTTATTTCTATAGTTTCCAGTTTTTTCAGAGCACGTGCATTTCCCCTGTTTGTGCAGAACTTACTGAAGAGGAAAGCGCCCTGGGTGGTCCGGCCTCGCAGCCTCGTCAGGGCTGGGAGCCGCTCCTCCCTGGTGCAGCGAAGCTGCTCCGGGCCATGGGTTCCCGCCCCGTGCGCGCCGAGCTCCGGTCCAGGAAGCTCCTGCTTCTCGACAGGCCGCCCCCGGGCACGCTGGCAGGACGCCGGCATCTGCGTGTGCTCGCGCATCTATGCTGTTCTCAGGGCTCGGGGGGAGGTGACCCCGGGCTTGGGCTCCCCACTCCAGTTCAGGGAGGCCTCACCTGCCGCGGCTCCCGCCTCCTCACGGCCTGGAGTGGGTTCCCACAGCAAGTGTCCCAAAGGGACCAGCCCGCCTCCCGCATTGTACGCAGTGTCCTCTCCGCCCCAGGCACATCCAGACTCCAGCTGAGGGACGTCCGCGTCCTGGAGGGCATGTGTAGAGCCTGTGCCGTGGATTTCTGGCCTCCGGGCTCTCGGCCTCTGGAGCCACCGCTCCCCGGCCAGCTTCCAGAGCAGGATAGCCAGCGTGGCCACCGGGCAGGCACAGAGTCACCACGTGTTCTCCTGGGCATGAGGGAGGGTGAGCTGGTGCTGCTGCCCGAGGACGCCCCGCAGCCTGGTGTGGACTGGGGTTCCCACGGCCATCGGGTGCTCCTCGGAGCCGTGAGCAGCGCCCAGGAGTCCGCGTTTGGCTGTCACTGCCGTGGAGGAGACAGACCTCGGTTCCGCGCCTCTGTTTGGTCTTGGCCTGTGCGTTTGGTGGCGCACCTCGGGGGTGAACACAGAGCCCTGGGCCCTGTGGCTGCTCTGTGGGGGAGCGGGCCTCACCTCTGCATGGCGGGAGGCGGTCTGGCCCTGGTGACGGTCTCCTGTTCTTGAGCTGCAGGGGACTGATGTCTGGAACCCTGCCAGTAAGTTCTACGGGAGAGGAGAGCGGGGCTGTGGTTCCTGGGCAGGGCTCGCAGCTGCAGGCCACACCGGCAGCCCCGGGGGTCTGTCTGGAGCCGGACTTGCCATGGGAGTGGGGCCACCTGAGCGCTCCCCGCCTGAGCACAGGGCTGCCCCTTCCTGGCTTGTGCTCCGCAGCCCTCGCGGGCCGTGCCTCCTGACTTCACGGCAGTTCGAAACCACGCAGCCCGCCCGCTGGGACTGAGATGCGCTCCCCGCCTCCCCCCCCACCCCGCCCGGCCGCCTGCGCGGGGTGAGCACAGTTGTTTCTGTCGGGTCCTTCCGGGAACGGGCTGGCACGTCCGGACTGGCCCCGCGTGTCTCATTCTGGTGGGAGGCGGCACTGTCAGAAACGGAGAGCAAACGTGGTGTGTCTGAGAATCGCAACACTCGGGGTGCTGGGGTGTGCGACGCTTGCTCTCGGGGTTGTGCGTTCGAGCCCCACGTGGGGTGCGGAGTTTGCTTACATAAGTTTAAAGAAAAAAATGAATCGTAACACTCAAAAGTCTGAACTGTGTTTGAACTCTGTATTTCACTCAAAAGAATATTTCAGTCAACGTTTTTAATCTCTTAAATCAGTCCTCTGCCCCGCAGGCCCCGGCCCCCGCCAGTGCGTGTGCGGGTGGGGTGGGGGGCCTGCAGCTGCCCAGCGCCCCCGGACCGGGACGGGGCTGGCGCTGGAGGGGAGCGGAGCCGGCCGGCACCTGATGTCCGCGGCATTCCCGGCCCTTTGCTCACGGGGCCCGTGAGGTGCGCTCCGCGGGAAGGCCGGTTTGGGGCCGCACGGCGCTCCCGGCTCTGCCCGCCGAGCTGTGTCCTCGCGAGGACGACGCCTGTGGTTCTGTGCTCTCCAGCTCGCTCTCCGCTGTCCTTGGGAGAAGCCGCTGTTCCCGTTTGGAGACGGAGGCACCATGATGTCGCTGGCCCGCCAAGGGTCCCTGGGCAGCTTCGGGAGCAGAGCGGAGAGGCGCAGCCGTGCACCAGCGGCTCCCAGACCTGGTGGGAGGCCGTCCCGGGCGCAGCCTGTGTGAGGCCCGCAGCCTTCCCGCCTCGTGCTCTGGAGCCTCGCTCTAGGCCGTGTTGCCCTCGGGGTTCGGGTCTGCGTGGCTGCGGCGTGGCTGCGGGGCCTTGGAGAAGCGGACCCTCTGGGCAGGAGCTTCCCGGCCGTCCTGGGCTCTGCGGGCCGAGGATGGGCTTGTGCTCTGCCACAGAGCTAGTCGGGCAAGTAGCCGGTTTGGCTAAAGCCTGTGCGCGTGGGGAGGCGTGGTGGGACGGGAAGCTGGACAGCTGGCATGTGCCTGCAGAGCCCCCTCCGCACACCAGTGTCTGGCCGGGTGCTGGGAGTCGAGCAGGAAGCCAGATGGTCCTGGGCGGCCAGTCATGGGGCAGGACCTCACCAGTCACCGTGCACAGCGAACCAGGGCTCCAGACAGAGCGCACGTCAGGGAGCTGCAGAGAAGCCGTCCGTCAGACACCAGAACTAGAAGGCGAGGCGGCAGGGCCAGCAAGGGCGTGAAGCCATCTTCCCACCGAAGCGTGAAGGGTGGGTCGGCATCAGCTTGGGGGCCGGAGGATGGCAAGTGGGAGCGTTTCAGACGGAGGCAAAGGATGGCAGGGAGCAGCCTCACAGTTCCGAGACCAGCACTGGGGGGACAAAGAGGGTGGACAAGGGGTAGGAGCCCCTGATTTCCAGCTGGGTGCCTAGTGCCGAGGGCGGCCATGTGGCCGAGGGCTGGCCATCAGGCTGCAGGCAGAAGGGCAGGCCGCAGCTCCCGGGAAACTTGTTAAAAGACGACTGGTGTTTCCCTCCCTCCATCCTGCCCCCTGGGACACAGACGTGATGGCTGGAGCTCTAAGAGCCATTCTGGAATACGAGGATAATAGCCGGTTCGCAGACGGCTGAGCAGTGACGGATTGGGTCGCGCTCACCTTTCTCTCCTTTTATTTTGTCGCTCCTCTTGATTCCTCATGATGCCAGCCCCATGACGCATTTACCGAAAGCGACATACAGTGTGTGTTCACTCCCCGCTTTTGTTAAAGGATTTGTGGCTGCTTCTCTGATCCACGAGCCCCTGTGGCTATTCCGGGTCACATAAGATTGTGCACCTTGCCGCAGACGGTCTAACGGCACGCATGGGTCTCATACAAACCACACTTGCCCTGGCGCGACACGGCGACGGTTCGGACAGTGCAGGGACAGTACCCGCTTGATGCTCCCCGGTCGTGCTCCTTGCCATGTGGAGGGCGTGCTTGGCCGGGACGTCTGGGAGAGACGGGCATGTGTCCCGGGGGTCCGAGGCGCGTCCCAGCCCCGCACTGAGAGCATCAACAGAGAGAGGTTAAAGTGGTTTTAGCCACATACTTACCTAACACAGTAGACCCCAAACAGTGTCATTCTAACGCGGTCTCCGTTTGCACATTATGGGTTTGGGCTTACGTTCCTGTTTCTGGGTGTGCAGGACGCTGGAGCTGCTAAGAGAGCACAGGGCTGCGGGGCTGAGGGGTTGAGCGCGCGGGGTGGTGGCTGTGGTCGGGACCGGCTGTCAGCCCGCTGCCAGCTGGACCCTGCACCGCCTGAGGAGGGAATCAGCGCCTGCGTCGCTCTGGGAGGGTGGCTTGGACCCCGCAGGCCACGCTGGAGAAAGACACCCCCCCCCACTGCCCCCATGGCTCCAGGAACAGCCGAGTCAGCAGATCAGGGCCTCCCTGAGGGCTCCGACGGGCAGGACAGGGAGGCCCAGGAGCAGTGCCCACGGCCACCGAGAACGGGTCTGCAGACACAGGCCCGAGGCCACAGGGCTGCTGCAAACGTCCACGCAGGGCGCGGACGAGAACTTCACTGGATGCGCTGTCTCCACGTCTGTTCCGCCCCGTGTCTACCCGTCCGAGGCGAGGAGCTGAGAGCTCTGGAGCCGGCAGGCCTCCCTAGAGCGAGGTCACAGGAAACGGGGGCAGTCGGTGCCGTGCACGCAGCCCCCTGCGACAAGGCTCCGGCTGCCACGTCGGTGGCTCTGGGCAGGGGATGCAGGCTGAGCACGGCGGTCGCTGGAGCTCACCTGCCAGGAGCGTGGGGGACACACCAGAGGGCAGGAAGTCCCAATGAGCCCCACTGCCAGCAGGAGGCGCAGCGTGATGGGGCCCGTCTGGGAGAAACCCACAGCCAGCAAGCGGCCTGGAGGGGCTTGGGCCGACCCCGCGGGCACAAAGGGCCACCCTGAGAGCACAGAGGGCTGGCCCGAGGGTGGCGCCTGCCTGAGACCCGTGTGGAGGCCAGAGTGGCAGGAGGTGTCCCCGAGGCGGTGCGGCGAGTGTTTCCGGGGCCTCGCGCCACACAACCAGTGGACCCAGGAGGCGTTTCGCAAGAACCAAGTATGTCCTCCAACCTGAGAACTGCTCTCAGCACCGCGGGGGACCTCACCATCCCTCTGGATCCAACCACATGCCCCCCTGCCCCGCGCCGACACCTGTGGGTGCTCTGGCTCCAGAGAAAGCCACCTGTCCCGTCTGGGAGGAAGAGGCACTTCTTGCCAGTGCTCGGACACGGAATATTGTGCTTCTGAAGGGTGTTCCCACGGGGGTTGGTGTCCTCGGGGACCTGCCTTGACCAGCAACTCCTGGGGTGGCCGTAGCGGGGGGGCTGCCCCTATACAGAACCCTACTGATGAGGCCGCTCCATCCCACCTTTGAACTCAGGCTCCGCTGCAGAAGCCCCCCATGTGGGGGGGGGCAACTGTGACCCTTCACAGGATGGGGGGCGGGCGACGGAGCAGGCGGGCTCACTGGGATGGTCCTGAGACCCCTACCTCTCTCGGGGCCACACTCACGCCCTCTGTTCCCCCATGGCCCAGGGTCCACCCCAGCTGCTCATGTCCCGCAGGGGCCAGCCTGGCTGAGGTCCGTGCACGCGAGGTGGTTCCCTCAGCTCCGGCCCCCGGTGGCAGTGACACTCGGGGAGGGGCTTGGCTCTGGGCACGGGG